CTGAGTACAGAGGCAGAGATAGCTGATATGAGCCAACTATCGTATGCTTCCGCTGTTGGCTCGATCATGTATGCTATGACTTGTACCCGTCCTGATGTGGCATTTGCTTTGAGCATGGTCAGCAGGTATCAGGGGAACCCTGGCAAGGCTCATTGGACTGCGGTAAAGAACATTCTCAAGTACGTGCGGAGGACTAAGGATTGGGTCCTTACCCTTGGTGGGAGTGATTACTTGAGAGTATTAAGGTATAGTGATGCTAGTTTTCAGACTGATAGGGATAATTTCCGCTCTCAGTCAGGCTGGATCTTTACCTTAAATGGAGGGGCAATCTCTTGGAAGTGTTCCAAGCAGGAGACGGTGGCTGATTCGACTTGTGAATCAGAGTATATAGCAGCGAGTGAAGCAGCGAAGGAGGCGATATGGATAAAGAACTTCATCGGAGACCTTGGAGTTGTACCATCTATTAAGGAACCTATGGAGATTTTCTGTGACAACAATAGTGCGGTTGCCTTAGCCAAGGAACCAAGAGATCATGGCAGATCCCGACACATTGACAAAAAATATCACTTCATAAGACACAAGATTGAAGAAGGACTCCTCGTGGCAAGGAGGATATCGTCGGATGAGAATCCTGCAGATCCCCTTACGAAGGGACTGATGAGGGTTAAGCATTTTCAGCATGCGAGATGCATCGGGCTGAGGGACGATATTAGTTTTACAGATTGGATAGTTTTCCTGAAACTTGTAAAATGTAATCGACGTCTGATGATGAATAAAATTTGTGATTTATTTATGAGTAAAGTGTTACTATCATTGTCAATTATTTACTATTGTTTCAGTTTTGCAAGTTTTGACTTCCAGAATAATTAATTTATTCAAACCTCCACAATCGATCATACGTCGGAAGTAGGTATGAATCAAGATTGTCATGAATTGGGTTTGTAGATGGCTAAAGGTGTTTAGACATGGCAATGGTTGCTGCAACATTCATGAATACTCATAAGTTATGAGTATTGGTATAAACCCACGCTCACTTGTATCACTTCATGGAATTTATCTCGAGTGATCGTGAGACAATAATATCATATAAATCTTCAACCCTAGAGATATGAGATGTTACCTATGAGTTGGTTGTGCATGGATTGCACGTAAACGCATCAGTAACTCGATATTATAAAACGTGCCTTTGTGTATGATTCAATAAGTAGTAGAACAAGCATATCAGTCAAAGTTTATCTGTTCCTTCTAAAATAGAAGCGATATATGGGCCCCTAGATGATTTTGTGTTGACCCATGTACCGGGCCCGGTTAGAACTAAACCGATGTGTTCAGTGAAGTTCTTCGTCAAACAAATCGGAAAATCGAGAAACAACTGCTAGACACTAAGCAAGACATAGTTCCATGTGTTTGTCCGGCTGATATCATGAGAACAAAGGATTATGTGATCACTTGTCTTAAAATGGCGCTTCATAGTTCGACGGAGTTTTCGAGAGCTACGATTGCTGGTTGGTTCCTAAAGTTATATAGGCAAATACGGTTATTAGACTTATCCAAGTGGGAGTCTGTTGGATAAGGTTTCTAAGTCCATAACTTATTTGGTATATACTTGACCCGACCGGCATGGTCCATTTGGGTTGCATCTCATCCAAACTATTATGGATAATTTTATGAGAGTTATACACATATGTTTATTAATATATATTATAAGTTATAATATATTAATATGAAGTTATGTTATTTAATTAGTTTTAGTCTTAAATTAATTATGAATTAATTTAGAGATTAAAAGGAAGACTAATTAGATTATGGCCTAATTGTTTTATATAGTGTGGGCTAATACTCATTTGTTAATGGGCTAGGCTATATGGAAGTCCATGGATGATCCATGGATGATCCATGGAGCTTTTAACCCATGGATCCTTGGAAAGGAAAAGACATGGGTTATTAGGGTTTCACCCTAACCATGCACACTATATAAGCATGCTTATGGAGCATGAAATGGAACTAGTGAACTAGTGTGTGTAAGCTTGTGTGTGGCCGAAAATTATACAAGTGTGTATACTCTCTAAAAGTTTTCCAAGAGTTTGTGGTGTTTTGTGATTCCATTTGAGGCATTCACACTATTGGTGCTCGGCCCTCAAACTCCTTAGAACCAAACTCACCAAAAGGTATGTAATCTCTTCTAACTCTTTTATGTTGAAATGTTCCCCATGCCATGTTAGATAGGTTATAAACCTTGGAAAATTTAATATTTTGCATGTATTTATACAAACATAGATCCAAGGTTTATTAGGGTTGCATGCACACTTAGGAAGTGTTAGATTGCTCAAAACCTAACACATATAACATCCTATCTACCAGGATACTGATCTAACAAATCATACAATACTCAAGCAATAGACAAACAAATCAATCTAACAGATCATATAACATAACACACAATACCATCATATCTACCAGGATACCGATCTAACAGATCATACTAGCACAGCATATCCAGATAACAATCCAAAAGTGTCGGCCTTGGTTCCTTAGACCCTTGAGTATAGTGAGGATACCTCACTTGGAACTGCTGAAGTCCCACAAATAAAACTTCAGCTGCTGGTTGACAGATTCTCGAACTGCCAACATCAAACAATACCCAATTAATAATTTGGTTACAAGCCCAAGGTCCAACTCACACACCAAAAGCCCACAAGTCAAGTAATGGGTCAAAGCCCAACATATGGCCTAATTTTCCAAATTGGGCCCAGACCTCTACATGGTCTTTCCTTAAGGCCCATTCCATTATTATAGTCCAAACTCTTGGTATTCCCATGGCCCAATATGACGTAATCATAAAGGCCCAATTATGGCCCACCTATGGAAAATTGGGCCCAAGTCCTTCACATGGGCCTTACACCAAAACTCATCCAATTATTTTGGTCAATTTACTTATTCTTGGATAGCCCATCAATAGTCCAACCAACAAGGCCCAATAGGAAGTCCCAAATTAAGGTCCAGGTGAAATAAGGGTTTTCACATGAAATGATGATTGGGGTTAAATGTTTCTTACTTAACCCATTCAGGACTTAATCCATTAAGTCTAATATTGCCTTAGGTTAATTTGCCAATGATTACTATTTAATATATTTTAAGTTTATTAAATAATTCCCGTGCGGTCCCGATCAATCCCAAAATTAGGGTTTTCCAAACCCTAATTAGGGTTTCCGATCCAAATACTAGCTCATTAATCAAATGGTTGAGCTTTTTGGTCAATTAGGGCTTCATTGAGCCTATTAGGATTTTATTGGGCCTATTAGGGTGTCATTGGGCCAACTTTTTCCAAGCATACCCAAACGAATAAAAATGCAAACGAGGCACACCGCTACCCAACACGGTAGTTGGTGGCAGGAGGAGGCGGCAGCCACCACTTCATGGTGGTGGTTATGGATATTTCTATTGATTATTCTGGCACGATTATAATTTGCAACCCAATAAAAATAACACACACGCACATACTAATATAAACATACACACACAACCATACTGTGGCGGCAAGTGGTGGTCGGAGGTGCTAGCCACCACCTCAAGGTGGTGGTGGTGGCTCACTTTTGATTCCCGATTACTCAACCCCCACATAATACACCCTAACAATCAAAACACACCCAAAAACACTTCTGTTTGTGAAATAGACCCAGCCACCCACCTAGTTGCGTACAGCGACGGCGACAGTGGCTAAGCTATGCGGCAACAACATCGGTTAACGGTAACGACTTCATTATCGGTGACAGCCACCATGGTCGTCTGCCATGGTGGTTCTTCACGCCTTTCATTCGACAGAACCCTCTCCTACACGCCATCGCATAACAAACCACGAACCCAACTACCATCCCCTGGTGGCGTGCGGCGGATGGAAAAACCACAGAAGTTGGTCACTCGAAGCTTACCGCGGCGTCGGGCACAGGCAGGCGTAGCACAGCTAGAACGAAGAGGAGATTTTACTAGGAGCGATGACAGCGACACTCACGACAATGGATCTGTCCTTCTGCTTTCTAACTGCTGCGACGTCTTTCTCTGGGGAAGCTTCACGTCGATCTCCAATACCACCGACAATAAAGATGTGTGAGGTTGGCTTCATCAGCGGTGGGCGATGGCGCTCCAGTGAACTTCGACGGCGACAAGCATGGCGGCTGGAGGGAGGTAAGATGAGGGTAGCGGCCGAATGAAGCATTAGGGTTAGGGTTTCGGGTGGTGAGGTTATATACCCGCCTCATGTAAAGAACAGCTCATAATGATGCAAATGGTCCCTCCCTTCTCTATTTTCTTTCAATACAAGTCCTAAATTTACCCTTTTAACCCCTCTTTTTGAAAACCATTACAAACCTAGTCCGATTCTTACCAATCAGCCCCCTCTTCTACAAAATCTTCTCATCTTAGGTCTAGCATTTACTTTTAGTCCCCACTTCCATAAATCCTTACACATTAAGTCCCAAAATTACACTTTAACCCCTGGAGATTCAAATCTTGTCATTTGGCTTCCCGAAACCAACTCCCAGCTAATTATTATTTGATTTTGGATTATAATAAAACATAAAATAATAATAATAATTACTTCTCGGGGTTCCATGTTTATTATTTAATGATTATATTTTAAATGGGATGTTACAACTATAACATCCGGATTTCCAGGTATATTATTTTTAATGATTTATTTTGAGAATCATTGATCTACTCGATGAGTTGGTGCCATAACTCATTGAGTAGCAGCGGGGTGGCCACGTGAGTTTAATGAACTACTCAACGAGTCCAAGAGTAGACTCTCCGAGTAGGCGCTATAAGTGGAAACCCTAGATCCCTGGGTTTGGGGGCCTATTTGAAGGCACGTATAGCCTCATTTGCAGCCACACCT